TCTTTAGTTGACTTCAGGCTTCACAGAGGGGAGGGAACATTAAAGTGAAAAATATCGGGAGGGGGGAAACAGAAGTGTTTCATAGACGAAGATAGAAAAGGTAGAAAAAAGGTGAGGTGAGTACTGTGAAAGTAGTCGAATATGACGTACATCGGGGTAATGGTAGTTTGAAGACAGAAGTCAACTGCCGATCTATAGACTAAAATAAATATGAATAACATCTGAATTTAATAAAGGATGATTTTGAATTAAGAGAGGAACAACTTTTTCCTTCTGGTATTTAAATTCCTATCTTCTTCTTTTTGCTTACTGATATTCACTATGGAGCAGGATGAATAAGAGGGAAAGCACAAAAATGGAGATTTAATTGGTACTGCTCAAAGGACTGAAGGATTGATTGTAACTCAGGAGTGGTAAGGCGGATATTTTGCTTGGGTAATTGACTAGTTATTAATGTAGATAAATACCCTTTGTGTAAAAATATAGCACTCAGACAAAGAAGAAATTGAGATTTGATAGGGGTTTTGGCAGTAGTTACTTCCCCAATAGCACCTTGAAGAGAAGTCAGGTCGGTTCCATCGATTGAATTAGCAAAGGCTTGATTTGGTATGTTGATATCCTAGATTATTTATGTGTACAAAGGAAGATAATTTCAGAGAATAAAGGTGTGAGAAGTTGGAGAAGTAATCAATACTTCTAGCGCAAAATTTTAGACTTACTTCTTTTTGCAGCTTTGATTTGGTTTTCGTTTGTGAAGATAGAGCTCTGCATTTTCAGCTGTTCGTTTTCGTATACCCTGTTGATTGGATTTTGAATTAACCCATCGAATTGTCTGTGCGAAGTGAACGAACGCTTTAATTTAGTCGGAGTAACAAAGAGGTTGATGGGATTCACGTTTTTTTACCAAAAGGACGTCTTTCCCGATTAGACTTGAATTTCCTTTTTATTATTGTAGAAAATGATTAGTGACACCAACTATTTGATGATGCAATGTTAAAAAATCGAAAAAATGATTATAATTTTATCCAGCCTAACTGTCACGTACTGTTATATTCACGGCCACTTACTAAAAAAGTTATTTATGACTTTAAATCGCCTTTGTCAGTGGTCATAAAAGGGTGAATAGAACGCCCCCACCCTAGCGAAAATTTGAGTTTCGAAACACTCATTAAAAAACCGCACGTGCATATTTTCACCACATTTTCGATATTTTAGACTATTTTTTGCTGCTACCGTCATTACACCTTCATAAGGTACTTGCATAGGACGTTTACTAATCCCATTTGTAGCCATTTAAGTACTTACAATGGAAATCCTCGCCGTCTGAGTGATCCCACCTTAACGTCTATTGATAAAGATTAAATTCCATAAGTATGCATGTTGTTGAATGGTCAATTTCAAATGCTTTTTGCAAGTAAAACACAAGAATGCAGTGAAAGTGGGTCTTTTGAGACAAAAATACTTCTGGTCTATTTGTAGAACGAAAACAATGCTGCTGCTGCCTGTGTTAGTCTTCGGCGATCTAGGCCTGTCCATATTTCAATAGAGAAGCCAGGTATGGACGCGGAACGTTCTGATAATGCAGATTCCGCTGACGAGGATCCTGGAATTGTCCAAGTTTATGCTGGAAACGTTGTCGGGGCGGTCAAAACAAGCAGTCCTACATCCGATGCACTCGATTCAGCTGAGGTAATTATCAGGACCTATCAATTTTAAGCCTTGACCGGTTATCCAATCAGAAAAGGGCAAAATTAGTTTTGCAATTCAAATTTAAATATATTTAAAAGTTCATGTATATACTTTTCGTGTTCTCCCCAATGACTTGCGTCAGTTAAAGTTAGTGAAATTGTGCAGTTGACTTGAAGTCTCGATGTGCTTTTCCGTTTTTTAGCAATTTAGTTGAAAAGTGCGTTGTTATTTGTAGTAAAAATTAAAACAGCAGGGAAAATTAATTTTTCTGTAATATCATTAAGGGAACCTGAGTGTGTTCCACTTTGCTGAAATCAATTCACGATCTTATCAGTGAGCCTTTAGAAAACTTACAATCGACATAAATGATGAAATTAGCTGTCGATTTCCAATACACTGGAAAATAAGGTCCGTATTTTTTAGGAGCTAGTTCTCTCATGAACATACAAGGAATAAAATCTGGTAATTAAGTTAAGAACATCCAATATAGGACCCTCTAACGTGGAGGCAAAATGTTTAGTTGCAATTGGTCCTTAAAGCTTCGTCTCAGGGAGACTTTGAGGGCGTTCTATTAGGCTTAGTTGATTTTCGAAGGTTTGGAAGCTCTGCATTCGATTGCATTACCTAATCACATTCAATTCTAAAGTCTAATAGCAGCAGAAATGACATATTCGAAGTCGTCAACGTTTCAAAGTTGAATAATTTCGCCATCATTGGCCACATCTAAATTGGTACGTCGCTGTCTGCATCCCTTCTTGTGTTTTTATCGTACGGCAGTTTACAAACCATCGTGATGACCAAAATTCAAGCGTATTTATGATAGAACAATATGACTCATATTTGGTTGCAAGAAAGTATTTGTTCATTTTCAAATTTATTTGATAATTTGTAGGCTTTACTTCGTGAAAGGCAATTACAGAAGCACCAGTACAGTGATTCACGATCACAGCCTCAATCATCATCTCAATTTCGGCATGAAGCCTGGTCAGTTGGCCATCCGCCTTCCTATTTCTCTTCCCGACATCCACACGAGGGGATGTACCATGCTCACAGCTATCACAATTACCACCATCGCCATGAATTTGGGGATCCTGGATCTAATCTCAGGTCTATCAGATCCCAATACTACTATCCCCGTCGCAACAGATCTGGTCGTAATCTCCGAGCTACTCGATCCATGTCAGATGAGAATGACTGGTTTGGAGCTCGTGGACAGTTTAACCGGTTTCCATATTCCACTGAAAGTACTGAATCAGAACATCAACCACCTTCAGCGCCTCTGTTTGCCTCTGCAAAGTCGGCGATTGATATGCGGAGTGAGGAAATGTACCGAAGGGGTGGGTATGTATGTCGATGGCATCGAGCGTCCCCATTAAGACAGTATACCAATTCCAGAGTTCCAATGTTGCGAAGAAGTAAATCGCTCGGTCGTCCGAATAACTCAGCATTGATATCATCTTCTTCAAACGATGAAGGGATATCAAAAGCGTATTTTCGAAGGCTTAAGGAAAGGGAGCTGTCAAGAGATCAGTTCAATATGATGGAAAATTCGATTGGACGGAGGTTGACTAGAAGTCGAAGACATATGAGAATTCCTTTTGACGGTTCGGATTTCCCATCAGAATGGGATCAAAAGGATGTCTTTAGAAGTGACAGGATGAAGGTGCGAATTTTAAGAATGCTTTTATTACATTTTTTCCCACAGCGCACGAAAGCTAAGTAAATTTGTATTGTGGAATAGGAATGTAATCACACTGGCAGTAATTTTCGAAGTATATTCCAAGTTGATGGTAAAGATGTTTAGACAAAGTTCAAAGTGCCAGGGTTTAAATTTACTTGATTGATGAATTCTGGTTGTATACTATTTGCTTAATGAGTACTTCCCGTTTAAATATACAAGGTTAGTAGTTTATTACCAAAAATAATATCCAACTTCCTTACCCAAAGTATCTGCTCCACATTGGCTGGTTTATTTAGTTAGTGTTATTGTCAGTACTGCCACTTCAGTTTGTTCCTTTTTCTAAAATTTGGAAGGCGCAAGGAATTTGGATAACAGAGCTGCATTTAATCTAAATTGCAAATCAATTAAACATTTTTTCGCTCTAGTGTAAGATTCATTGGCAGGATACCAGATAAATTACGTTTTCTGATCTACTGCTGGTACCAAATTTTGAAATTTTGAGTTTTATGCTTCTGACACATTAAGATTGCATCAACTCTATTAAACTAATTGATTCCGTGTGAGATATAGTTCACTGCTTTACTTTTCATTGTGAGATTTCCTGTACCTGCTTTATAGACAGTCCCGTGCTAAAATTATCCTTTCGTATGAAATGCTTGAATTTATTGCCACATTTTCAAGACTTTCCTCAACTCCTTTATCTTATAATATGGCATAGCGTATAAGAAGGCGACTTCCTGTTTTGCTTGAGAAATACACACTGAATGCATTGAGATAATCTTTCTGTTCCATTTAGATGGGAAAATCACCTTCTGAGAAGTTGACTTCAAAACACTGGCTGCAGAAGATCACTTCCGTACCGGAAATTCGTAAGTCGTTGATTTCACCTTCTGAATGCTTGGTGTTGTCGTCTAATTAACTTTTCACGATCTTGCAATGAATTGTTTCTAGAATCTTTTTTTGGGAAACATTTGCTTAAAAATTTGAATTCAATCTTCGGTGGCTATTAATCATATTTTTTCTACGCCCGCTTTTATTGATTTCCTTTGAATGCATCAGTTGGCTTGCTTTATCACTTACGTGATCGATTTATTGCGCAATTATGTACCTATAGGAAGCATGATCCTATATATATATACGCCAAGGTGGAATGGAAGTGGGTCGAGGAACCAGATAGGAAGGAGAGAAAGCAACCATTTTGTCACATTGACTACTCCCGAATAAAGTGGGGTTTTGTTTTGAAAGAGTAAATCTCTGGTAATAATTTCTAATTGGTCTTTATATGTCCATGTTAAATCACAATAGTTAATGAGTTTGTCAGCTTAGCCCACTTCTAATTCTTCAAAGGTAATGTGTTGCATATCTGATAGCGTTGAAATTTTCCCTATAAGAATAATGTCGACGCATAAAAATCAGTCACGTGATGTGTTTTTAACTTTTTAAATTCCGAATTTTTTCATCCTCTCTTCTTTAGAACCGCAGAATAAAATAGAAGTCGATTACAAGATCTGAAATATTTAAAAACTTTCAAAAAACACAACTGAAGTCTATTCGTTATTCTGACTCTCTTAGACAATTTCTCTTTTCAACAAAAGTCAATTTTTTACTATCGATCTTATCGATCTCCTTATAGATTTCGGTTTCCTATGTTTGCTTTATGCTTTTTTTGAATTCGGGTAAATGGACGTACAATTTCAATAAATACTAATGATAAGAAGAGTGCTATTTAATTTTCTTACAGCAGTTGGAAGGCTGTCATTTTCATTCATTCGCGTTAATTTTCATGAAAATTATTTTTACTATTAAAGTAAAGCCTTGACTGTATATATTTCTGGCAATATTTTGATGGAATAGGTGGAAAAAATTGAAATTTTTGCTAGAAAATTTACAAAAATTTTCCTAGTATGAAGTGTTTTAAAGTACTAGTCAGTCTAGTTTTACCAAAGGAAGGTCATTCGTGTTGGAAACATCATACAGCTTAAGTTGGAATTGATGGCGATCGATTGAAATGTAATGAGATGGAAGCCATAGGCTATTTTGAGACCAGAGGCGCAAACAATAAAATTACCTGCGGTAATATTGTAGGACCAAACAATGTGAAAAAGGTACATCAAGGGACTGACACTTTCGCTTCTTGAACCCTATTCGGGGCCATGCTTTCTGCAATTAGAGAGGCGTAAACTGAGTGAGAAAGTCAGTTCAAAATAGGATTTTCACCTATTTATTACAAAAGGATGTGCTCATAACAATCCCGTCTTAAAATGTCGAAATGAATGAATTTTCTAGAACAAAGAGGTCCTATCAGTAAGTATAGAAATATGGAAATTGTAATTTTGAAATTGAAATCCTTATGTTTGCCATTTATTCAGCACTCTGTAAAATCGATTTTAGGGTAATTGTTGTCTGTTCAAATCGTATCTTTGGTAGAATGTTTTTCAAATGGACTTTAGTGAAATTAGTTTGCTTCAAAATTTGCTCAGATATTTTGAAACTAAAACTAACTATATATATATATATATAGGTTGCGTTGGCAGCCAAATATTCGCGTGCAGATTAAGGAACTCCCTAGGTTGTCTCGTTGTCAAGAGAAAGTTTTGTCTACTAGCATAATCAACGATACTTTCAAAGTGGACAAATGACTAAAAAGGAATTTTATTTAACTTAGATGATTTTCTCGAATGATTAATTAGATTTCAATGGAGATCCTCTCCACATGACTTTTGATGTACCGTAACTTACGATTTATTTATTTCAAATGGCAGGATTTATGATATTTATCCATTTCCTCCCGTAGGTTACATAGGGGGCATGTTGGTTGAGTGTGTACGCCTAATTTGTGAAGGGGCTTCGTCAGGCAATCGTGTCCGGTACGTAGTCTAAACTCAGCAACGGCTTTGATTCTTGGCCAGTCGGCTATGTGGTAGAGTGCCACTGTCCACAGTTTCTCCTCTAAGTTTCTCCTTTGTTTGAGCTTTAAGTTCGTTTCGCCTTGAGGTCTTGAATTCCCATAACTTAAGATTAAGACGTGTTTTCAATCTTATTTTGTTCCATTTACTACATAAATTGAATTCTGAGACTAACAAAGATTATCGTAGCTTGACTTTATAACAAGCTTTCACGTTGATAGTCGGTGCAGCTATACGCTTAAGTAACCCACTAATTACAAATGGATGGATGGGGTAGGTATAGGGGAAACTAGATGTCTTTTCAATCAAGACTGAATCAATTAATTTCTTGATTAAATTAATTTTAATTTTCATAGACTAAGTAACTTATTCACTGCGGACACCATTCCCTTTCATACTTTTCAAAACGTTATTGGCACGTGCGCAAGTCCTTAACGTTATCCTATGTAAGAACTGACATCCCTCGTCAAGGGTGAATCTTTTGACATCCATACTTACATGGGTAGTGTTGTTCTTAGGTTATCGTGTGATTTTGTTTTATTCGGTGCATTATTGTGTGTTGTTGCGTTCTAATATTCTTCCATTTCATACTTATTGTACTCATTTACCAATACTGGCTAATAGGCTGTACTTCTAAATGTTGAGGTAGACATCATATGACCACCATGCGAAAATTTTCCTCATTATATTGTCTTTTTTAAGATCTCAAAATTTTCCTCTTTAAATATTCGATCACCTTTAAATTAATTATGCCTAAAGTTTGTAAAGACTGGGACTACAGAAACAATTAGGTTAGTAGTGCGAATAAGTTAAAATTTTAAATGTGGAAAGTAATCAGATTGGAGTTAAAGTGAGTTCGATACAAACTACAAGTGAGATGAATGAAAATATTCTAAGCGCGATGCTGAGGTGCCAAGGCGTCTTACATCATTTAATTCCTGAGTTCGGATTAAACATTATTACAAAAAACCTGGTTGCTCACGTTCTGAAATTAAATCACCATAATTCCTCTCTAAAGCTACAGCTCTTTTAGATCTATTGTTTTATCCAAGATGGGTCTGTGCTGACGCCAATCATTGACTTTTGGCAGCTTATAATTTTAATGGTGCAGAGATGACACAGGTACAAATTTAATGCCAGCATGAATTTTAATCACACTTAAGTGTTTATATCAAATGGCAGGCGTTTTGATGGTTATCATTTAGCCTTTAATTGACTTCAGGCTTCACAGAGGGAAGGAACATCAAAGTGAAAAAAGTCGAGAGGGGGGGGGGGAATAGAAGAGTATTTCAAAGAAGAAGATAGAAAAAGGCAGAGAAAAGGTGAGGTGAGTACTGCGGAAGTAGTCGAATATGACATACAGTGGGGTGATGGTAGTTTGTAGTCAGAAGTCAACTGCCTGTTAATAGACTTTTTTGCCGTATGAGAATACGTTGCCCAGGGTGCACCACATGGAGGTAAGTCTATCGCACACCCCTATACTTAAATGTTATTACCGATTCAGATCTTGGTCGTGAATATGCTGATTCCGATGACCAGCGCCGTCGATATAACCATTCTAGCGAGCATCAACTCCTCACCGATTCGCCTCGCTTCCGTCGTCGTTTCAACGAGAATATCCAAAAACAGCGTGACAGACAACAGCAATACCAACAAAACCAACGTCGTGGAAGATCCTGGAGAGAGGAAAATGAGTTGCATAATCGAGTTGAGCCAGAGGAGGATGCAGAATTTTTGGACGACGAGGAATTTGGAATCAATCAACTTGAATATCCAGATGATGCACCATTAGATTGGCCCGAAGGGCTTGCTTATACGCCTTCGGCTAACCCCCGTAATCGACGATTGCGACACTCGGATCCAATTGGAAGAAATGCAAAGTCGATGGATTTGGCTGGAAGAGGAACGAGTGGACCAACTGATAAGGATTATCGAACGAAGAGAGCAGAACGGAAGACACCTAAGGGAGGTAAGAATATACTATTAATACAAAAGGGATAATATT